ATTTACATACACCAGGTTCAAATACTGGATGTTTCTTTACCTATCCCAATAATTTAGATACGTATTAAACCTTGTACTTGACCTAGTGTGGTCAAGTCGGACCAAATAGTCACAATGACACACATTTTGATTTAACCCAACCAGTTTGTTCATTACAATCGTATATTATCAAACTTTTGAAATTTGTTTTGCGTACTAATATTAACCTACATACACATCTTCTAATCGTTCAAGTTCTAATTCGGTATTAAGTAGAACACCAATCTTTAATTGCAGTTCTGAATAAACAATCAAGCTTTTGTGCCTGATACTTTATTCTATAACTGATTCCTGGATCAGTAAAAAAATATTCATCACAGAATAAGAGATTCTGTTGACAGCTATGACCCCAGAGAATATTAATTTTGCACCGGTTAAAGCTGATTAAGCGATTTCAAATTGTTTACTTCAATGGATAACCTTTCGGACATTGCAATCAAACATCCGCCTTATAGATTACATACTGCGTACACAAGCACATACCCACCTACCTAGGTAGATGGAATGGTACGCCAATATAACCTCTTATTCCGATAACACATTTATCGTCAAAGAACTGAGGTGGCAGATCAAGGATCAAGTCAAAATCCTGATTGATCCATGTTCCATATGAATTGTGCTTCCTCTTAAATCCAAGTCGTTTATTGTTTTCTCAAGTTAAAATACTGACCAAAAATAAAGATAAACGGATCTATAGGTAGGTACATTTCTTTCTGGAAATCTCAACTGACTGGGGCTTTTTAATGGATAAATCATGTCTCTTCGCTAGTATTGACTTGACCATCAATAAGATCTTGTCGAAGGCTACCACATTCACTTTTTCGGTACCCGCTTCCCACTTCCCGCGTGCACCCGCAATTCGCGTTTGCAGTTTTGACCTCACCATCAGTAAGATCTTGTCAGGAGCAATCATATTCCCTTGTCGGTACCCACCTCCGACGTCTCTTTCATCGGTAATTAAAGTTTGATATTTTGACTTGACATTCTCTTTGTCGGTACACAGTTCCGACGTCCCGTGCACTCGCAATTGTCATTTTGGTGGATGTCGCTAAAAACCCGGCACAAAATAGTACTTAATTTTTGGGTACTTCTCATAGCTCGAGCTTTTATTGGCAACACGATAAAGAGAAACCGCGATTCGAGCTTTAAGAAACTTTTGGGTGCCCAAAAGTCGACTACCACTCGAAGCGCGCCGTGCAAAAGGTGGTTCATTTCGCCTAAGGAATGCAATACCGGGATTGCGGGATCCCGAAATATCGGGATCCCGCAGCATTTTTGCGAGATTAATCCCGCACATAAATGGAGCGGGATCCCGCGGGATTTGCGGGACTGAGGAATTTGTCGACCAAGAGGACGACTCTGTTTACTTTGTTAATGAAACTGATAACGGCGAATTATTTTTTAAATAATTGTTAAACTTTTTTCGTTAAAAATGTACAATGATTTATGAGGCACTTTAGAAGACTTTTTTTGCTTTACAGGTAAGGTTTTTTTGAGTTCTAAGTTAGGCCGAAGGTACTTTTTTGTTAAATATTGTGATAATTAGCGATTTATTTTAATACAGAAGTTAATCGTACAGAATTGCTTATTTGCCCATTTATTTTAAGTTTTGCGAGATCCCGCAAATTCCGGGATCCCGCGGGATTAACATCTAACAATCCCGCAAATACCGGGAATGAGATTTTGCTGCGGGATTGCATTCCCTACTAGAAACCAATTTCGAAAGAAAATTCAAAGGGTTGTAACTTTTGAACCAGTAGCCCAATCTTGGAACTGTTTGAAATTATGGATTCTACAGGTCGAATTCTATAAGAAAAATTTTTTTCCAGGTCGATCTGAGACAATTTTTTTTGAGGGCCTCAAAAAAAGGCAGTGTATAACCTTCCTTTTTTACCAAAAATCGACTGCACCGAAATTTCTCGGGAACACACCTTTTCTTATTAATTTTGGTGCGTAGAATCCAAAACAATTCGTACTTTTTCGATCAGACTTCTCAATCAAAAGTTATAGACTAGAAAACCTGTATCTCCCGAAAGCAACATTAAAAGTATCGCAACACTCTCCTGCGTTCCTGGGTCCACAAATATATAATACTCTACCGCAATATATAAAGAGTTCTTGTAACCTGCAGCAATTTAAATGTCAACTTAAAAGTTACTTAAATGAAAATTGTTTTTACTCCATCGCCGAATATTTCAAATTTTGTAATGAAAAGTAGTATGTTGAATTGTCTATTTTATGTATCTATTGTTTGTCATAGTTTATTGTCTCATTAATTGTTTGTCATATACCTATACTTGACGCTTCCTATACAATATCGATAATTGTCAAAAGGAATTATAAATAAATCTAAATCTAAATCAAAAGTTATAGACTAGAAACCAATTTCAAAAGAAAATTCAAAGGGCTGTAACTTTTGAACCAGTAGCCCAATCTTGGAACTGTTTGAAATTATGGATTCTACAGGCCACATTCTATAAGAAAAATTTTTTTCCGGGTCGATCTGAGACAATTTTTTTTGAGGGCCTCAAAAAAGGCAGTGTATAACCTTCCTTTTTTACCAAAAATCGACTGCACCAAAATTTCTCGGGAAAACACTTTTTCTTATTAATTTTGGTGCGTAGAATCCAAAACAATTCGTACTTTTTCGATCAGACTTCTCAATAAAAAGTTATAGACTAGAAAAGAAACCAATTTCGAAAGAAAATTCAAAGGGCTGTAACTTTTGAACTAGTAGCCCAATCTTGGAACTGTTTGAAATTATGGATTCTACAGGCCACATTCTATAAGGAAATCTTTTTTCCGGGTCGATCTGAGACAATTTTTCTTCGGGGCTCAAAAAAATGCAGTGTATAACCTTCCTTTTTTACCAAAAATCGACTACACCAAAATTTCTCGGGAAAACACTTTTTCTTATTAATTTTGGTGCGTAGAATCCAAAACAATTCGTACTTTTTCGATTAGACCTCTCAATAAAAAGTTATGGACAAAAAACAAATTTCGAAAAAAAATTCAAAGGACTGTTACTTTTGATCTAGTAGCCCAATTGTGGGCGTTTGGAATGTGTACCCTAGTGTGTAGGCAACTCGTCATACTCGATGTTCTGAAAAAGCGGCCATGTTTCTTGTCATTTTGTATATATAGAACATAGAATTTGAAGCTGGGGGACCAGGAGAACATGAAACGAAGAAGTAATATTCATTAAATGTTATTTGGCCGATAATGTCGTTTCCTATGGTAAAATTGTAAATTAACCTCAAATAATTGTTTACTTTTTTCATCAATAAAATGAACGTTTATTGTAATTTAAGTTTAAAATATGGAAATGGAATTTTAATTTAAAGTCTCGTTCATGGAATCGTTGCATACTTGGTCTGGCTATTGCGTGAAATGTAACTTATCGCTCTGGGCCAAGGGATTGGAAGGCAGATGATTCTTGACTGCTGAGAAAGGAGAAAAGGGTTTGGAATGTAAAACTAGGTCTTGGCATTACATTATCAGATCGAGAGTCTTGGTACGTAATTAAAATATAATTATAATTTCTTTCACACGTACTGCCGCATTACTAGGGTCACATTTTGATGTGCAATTGATGGTAAAGTGAATCCAATATGCGAAGTCCCATAAGAACGTTGAGGCAAATACTAACAGAATATTCTCTTGAAAAGCGAACACATTCTGCCTTGGAAGACAGTGTTTAAATTTGCTTATAAATCCGTAGCAGATATTCAGCATGACATCAAATTCCTCACAAGATGCAAACGAACATTAGTGCATTGTGTAGTGTTACTTTGTTAAATGATTTCTAAGAGGTTCCAATTTGATAGAAAGACAGGTCTGGGTAATTAAGTCTTCAGTTAGTTCTATTTTCAAAAAAGGTGTAAAAAGGGCCTCCATTCTCAGTAAATGATACCAAGTTTGTTAAGATATGAAAACAATATCCAGTCTGTTAATTTATATTTGCAAAGTGTATTTTTTAAATAAAGTTTTCTTCAATTAAGAAATTGTTCAATGAGCAAGACGAATTGGGGTGTAGCCGAGGGTGCAGCGGCTATTTCTTTTGTGAGTTGCGACTACCCAGTTTCGTAATCTTTTATTTTAATGTCACTTAATTAATTTAGGTATATACAGAGAGCAAACTAGAGGGGATATCAAGAAATGATTTATATAAAGTTTTCTTCATATGGAGGGGTCCATTTAATGACACAATTCACATAACTGTACCTTATGGGCAAAAGCCAAAAACAAGCAGACTTTGAGAAAGCGGTAATGAATAAAATTTGATTCGAGTATTAGCGAAACGAGCTTATATCAATAGAGGAAGAGACGTAAAACCATTCTTTTGTAAAATGAATGTTATAATAAGGGTTTTAACCCTCGTCATGTAAAATAATGCGTGTAACAAACGAGATAATTTCTTTTATCAATTCATTACGCTCCTGTAATAAGAACAGAGCCGAATTAAGCGTGTTATACAACTTTGATGATTTTATAGTCTAGTCTAGACGAGAAGCCGCCTCAAGACGTCTTCATTTCGAAAATGTTTCATGCACTTCGTGGAGTGTAGGTACTGGTTACTGAGTCAATATGGGTTCATTTTTAATTTTAAATGTGGAAATAAAATAGGAGGGCTGATTACCGTGGATCAATACAAACCCGCGCAGTCGACAACCCCTTTTTGCAGGTACCTATTCAGTTATCTCGCCGAGATCTTGACCCATTTTAACCCTATTAAACGGATCTATAATAAAGTTTCATGTTATACAGTATTCTTTTGCCTTGGACATAAGGGTGAAATGAAAAATAATTACGAACTTCGTCATTTCTTCCGCCAACGAGATATGATTAATTGAATCTTTGAATACGAGTTGTAAATAGAAGTAAATATTGTCAGATCGCGCAAGTTGTATTTGATGTGGAAAGTACGTTTGATATTCGATACTTGTTTCCACTGCTGATGTCCTTGGCGCACAGTCTTTCATTTAGTACGGGGTAGTCGATGCTGTAGTTGGCCAAATTCGGTGTTACTACTTTACAATTATTTCAGAAAGGGATGAATGCTACAATTATTTGAACTGCGGTGCGAATTCTATCCGTTTGTAATACACGTTTACTTGGAACGATACCCATAATTTGTGAAAATGTTCTCTGGTCTTACCAACCAGGTCAGTTCGTGGATAGGATCTGGAAAGGGTGACCAAGAGGAAAAAGTACCAACCCCCACCGATGAGTGTAATGCCGTTAATACTACTACAAATATGGATAAAAAAGATGTAAGGTAAGAGGAATCATTCCACCTGTAGGCTTTTAATTTTTATATTGACATACTGACCCTATACCTATTGATTTTTTACAGCAAATGCCCTACGCGTTAAATTACATTTTTCAAAAATGCATTCATCCAGACTCTTAATATGTTCATCCCTCCTTTAAAAAATCAATAATCTCTTAAGTGCGTTTGTTGTTAATTTAATTTTATAGGTTAGGATGCATCTTAGGGTACTAAGGACCAATCCTTTTCAGATGCGATTAGTACACCTTGTCAAAATTATAGCAGAAGGTGTCGACGGTAGTGTAATATAAGTTAGTCGAAAGGTTCGACTTGAACAGTTACGTAAGTGTTTTAACGCATTGATTGTTGCTGTCAATGCGTTCCGATTGAATTTCTGTTTTTGTGAATGTTTTTATTACCACTTTTACATATGTGTGAACGGTTTCGAAATTTTTCTTGCATTATCTGTACTATTCTTATCTATGGTTGACACAGAGTATTTACATAGATTATGTTGTGATGCTTTTATTTGCACATTTGCTATATAAACAAAAGCACATTGTTTTTTAAGTACCGAGGACTTGTGGTGTACCTCCACTGTTTGAGATGTGATTGATGTAAATATCTAAAATGTTGCAAATTTGTTATAGTAGGTAGGTTGTCCTAATTTATACTTGTTGCTGTTTTCGATAGGTGTCACCTGTTGCCATTTTTTGAAATGCTATTAGTACCTTTGATACGAAAATGTGATATTATTGTCGTAAGACTAATAGTTCGTTACTCCTTAGTTAACCTTCTACAAGGTGATATGAGAGTAACTTAAACTAATGTTTTTTTTTAATCCAAATTGCAACACAAATAAACAGGTACTTTCTCTTGGTAAAGAATAAAAATTCACTTCTACAAAAAAAACATAATTAACTAGATATAGGTAAGTGGTTTGGGATGGGCCATAACTTTTTTCACCTATCGATGGTTGTCAAACATGTTATACCGTCATAGCGAGTAATAGTGTGCACTGCATCTCCAGCTGTCAAAAAAGTTTTCTAGCCAAAGAGATCAGCCACTTGAAATCATTATAGGCACTATGCAGTGACGACATGTTTCTAAATAAAATAATGGGAAAAATATATTGCAATATTTCAGGAAATATTTTCAATCTTGACTCCATTTTCTGAATTTTTTTTGGAAGGGGCAGTATTTGTTATGGCATATGAACCGAGACTGAAAAAGTTTTTCTTTTTTATGTACCTATGTCAAATAAACAATTTAAAACTCAGATGCGTTTTATATTATTTTACTAAAACATTTTGGTGTAATTTGTATAGAATGGTATAGTATATTTTGTAAAAGACGAATGTTACCGACAATTTCCGAATATTCTCGAACTTTCTCGAATATTCGCAATGATAAATAAATTACGATAATTTTAAACCACTATTGCTGATAATATTGAGTAACACGTGTCTTTTGCAATTAAGAGTGCTAGGATGCTTCCAGGCAAGTTTTACCTCCTTGTGTGCCGAGGTAGAAACTCACGGATGTCTCCGAACGGTGCTACAAATAATTAACTAACGTCCGTCTCGAAAATACTTTTTGAATAATTTAAGGTTCGGTTTTGTTTCAGCCCCACTAAGCACAGTAAATTAGATATGTTAACAAACGTGAAGAGTCAAATTGGCGGAATAGGCGGATGGATAGGATCTAATATTCCAAAATTTCGAAAGGGCGAGGGCGAATTTGAGCAAAACGAACCACAGGAACGGCAGCTTTTGACGGAGGATGTGGATCCGTCGCACACGGTTGTAACCGAAAAGAAAGTGAAAGACGACGACGACAATTCGAGGTGAGTTTAGAATAACTAGAATCGTTTAATAGTAATAGTTTGTTGGTTAGTGCAACTGGAGGAGCAGATTCCGCACCGCAATCGATTCCCGAGTCGCCGACTGAAGAGAAAGATAATCAGTTCGGAAATGGTAGGTTCGAGCTAGGTTTCTTATTGTAACGTTGTCATTGCAGTCCAAAGTAAAGCGTTAGCTGGCGCAAAGTCGTTTGGCAGTTTCTTATACTCTGCTGTTAATAAGGCGGGAAAAACTGTGACTGAAGCCGGTGCGAAGATCAAAAAAACTGTCGAAGAAAATGTAATTATTCTAAACTCGAAGTATTTTTATTAAGCTTTTTATTATGCAGAGCATTCTGGGTGAATTTAACAAAGAGCAGGAGGCGTTTATGAAATCTCAACAAGGAACCACAGCGAGCGCTTTACCGCCTTGGGCCGGTTGCGCAAATGAAGAATCCTTGAAAGAAGAATGCCTCAGTTTATCTACTGACAAAAGGAATTTTGTTAGGAGTCCGCCAGCCGGAGTGGACTTCCAATTTAATTATGACATAACTTATCCAGTTGCTATGGCAATTATGGAACAGGACCCTAACTTGGAAAAAATGCGCTTTAATCTTGTGCCTAAAGTGTAAGTGCCAACTTGCTCGTTAGTCCTGTACTACTAGTAATACTTTCCTCTCCAGAATCAGCGAAGAAACTTTTTGGAAGAACTATTTTTACCGTGTTAGCCTAATTTGTCAGGCCAACGAGTTATCGTTTATGGGCAATAGTCAATCTGGTACAGAAACAATAACTTCTGATCAACCTATAGGTATGTAGTAGCCGAAATCTGAATGCATTGTGTTAACTTAGAAATTCTTTGCATGCGATCTGTGTTTTATTGTTCGAGCACAATTTTTTCGTAGCATATTTTTGAGTTTTTATTTGATATATTAGATCAAACGATAAAAGACACCACAGACGAATTTGTGTCAGACACGTTACAAGCCTCGTCGCAAGATTTGGTCGAAGTACACGAAGGTATGAAAAAACTGAACCTGGGCACAACAAAAAACTGCGGTAAGGTTAGAGTTTATTATTATTTTGGCTTCACATATCGAGTTGCTCAGAAAAATATTGATCTGTTTTTCTTCCCGAAGCAACACTAATCTGGACGCACTTTGACCTTGAGATCTGCGCACTCGCCTAGTTCAAGGTCATTTGGTTCGGTTATGTTTGTTGACGGAAATAGGTCTGCGTATGAGAAACAAATCAGTTAAACAGTAACAGGCTCTGTTTAGTAAAAATAGGTCAGTTTAACAGAATCAGGTTCGTTAATCAATCTGCCTCCGATAAACAGAATCAATTGACTTTAACTTGACGCATGCGCAGATCTCAAGGTCCGAGTGAGCCCAGGTGGGTGTTTCTTATCTACTCTTCCCCCAAAACTTTGACCTGGTTCAACGGTGGCATCGAAAATTATGCCGTTGAGGTCTACTAAGGCACATATTCTTATTTCAACCGAAACGCCTTAACTGGAAATTGGTAACTTGCTTTGGCTAAGGTACAGAAGGCTGTGATCTGTACTGGAAATCGAGGGTACCGAGTACACAAAAGCTGAAGGGTGGTATTTTCATCTCGGGTCTTTCTGTTCAGTCGGCGGTAGTTGACGCAAAAGTGGACCATGCATCCAAAAACTCTGTGCGCTATGGTTTCTTTACTAATAGCATCTATGTTTAGTTATACAGGGTAATTTACATACCCCATTTGTTATTACTTCATAACTACATAAAAAACCTGGTTTCGAGTTTCGGGGATTTTTTTGTCAACAAATATATAGCCTGGACTAAAAGTTATATTTATTTGCGTGTGAAAAATTAGTGGATAAAAATGAGATGCGATTTGGAAATATTTTAGAAAGTGCAATAAACAAAATTCAACCAATAAAAAGGCAGTGCGCAAAGCATGTGCAAAAACGGGCCATGCCATTTTGCGCAAAAAATTCGCTTACGTGTTACAAGCGTTCAAAAGTATTGCAGACGTCAAAAACAGTTTAAGGTAGACATCCTCTTGCCTATTTTTTTGTAGCAAATTTATCTTGTATACATTTTTCGTATCTCAGTTTGCCCTACGTTTTGAAAGAAATGCGCGCGATCGTGATTTTGGTAATAAAACTGCACTAGCGGAGGTGTGATAGACTGAACCTACTGCTATCTCTTTCTTACGTACAAAAATTGAGTGACAATTTAAAGAGCAGTTCATTCAGCGTTCTTTTCACCACGGGTTGGAGACAAGTTAGGGCGATGTGAAAAAAATTCGTACCTATTGATGGCAAAAAAACGTAATTCTGTGGCTCTTCCTCAATAAATAAATGAGTTTTGGTTTCTCTAATAAAATTTGTCAATAGATAGTTTTTAGTTAGTCAGTGGGACAAATCTCGATCAAGACAAAAATCATTTCAAGTATTAATTTGTTGCCGCTATGCCATTAATATTGATGTTCGCATTCTCTACCAGACTTTCCACTTCTTCCAAACAACAATCGAGCGTATATATAGAAACTGTAAAGGTAATCGCTGACAGCTTCAGGAAACTTCACTTCTTTTTTAATAAACTGAACTCAATGACGGACTGGCTTGAAAAAGAAGATTTTTGGGATCTGCCCGGATGGTAGAAACTTTTAACTTTACTAAACTGGCAACTGCTTTGTTGACTCCCACTCGTACTAACTTTTTCTGAATACGGAACAAACTGTTTTAAAAACTTTTACTACTTCACTTGACTGTAACTTAAATCTTTTATTAAAATGGCGTAACTTCTTTGCCCCATATTACTTCGTAATTTACAAACTGCATCTTCAACAAAAACAACTAAGGGTGAACTTCCGAGATTTAGCGTAAACAAATTTACACGCTCTTTTTACCGTCGCGAAAAACTAACAGCTAGTAGCCTCGTTTTTACCTTGACTCCAGCATTTAAAGGAACCACCACTTCCATTATAAATTAATCTCCTTCAGGATTTTCAAAAACGCCTCCAATCACAATTAGGCTTCGAAGAAACACATCCCCACTTACGTCGAAATATCTCTCTCTTCTAATAGCGATAAGAACACGTGTTTGTTCGATGAGAACTCCTTATCGCCTGTTACAATGCACTCCACTTTTACCACAGTTTCTATGCCATTTTTGTCAAAAAATTAAATTCTAAAAACCGAGTATTTTTGTGAGCAATATTTTTTGCATGCTACGTGTACAATGCTGTTTACGTTAGTTATATTGCCCCTTCATATATCAAAAGTAATTACCGTTTGACAACGGTAAATCTTTTTATGTATGAAAGGGTAAATGGGGTTATGAATTGTAGCTTAAGGTTAGTTTCCTGTTTGATCATGCAGCTTAAGAAGATGATGGTCAGCTCTAGCTTCCAATAAGTTTTCCATATCCTTTTAATCCTTTACGCATTTTCTTTAGCTATTGTTTTTACATATATATCATGATTTATCGCATTCTTTAACGACATGATGGCTAATTTTGCCTGTAAAATATATGTAATATAACGTTAGGAAAATATATCAATAGATCAGTATTATAATAAATATTTTGTGATTGTTAAATTACTGTACTCGTTCCACTACAATGTTTTTTTGTGGAATGCAAGCGATGCAGATCCTCAGAAAAGCGCTTACTTTTTATTTTGTTTTTGATCACTTAAAATATAGGTACTATATATATGTATAGGTATTATAAGATCAAGTTGAAGTTTAAATAATCTATGTATACAAGTAAACTTGCACTTATCACTTTTTCTTCCATTACACATAATTTTATCAACATCGATAAATGAAGAACCTGAACTTACTGTGTTGATTAACATTAGCATGTGTAGATTCTGTATGAATTACGTGGCAAGTGATCGACAAATTGAATAGAAAGTCAAGCATCCGTATTCAAATATGAGATTTTCAAATTTATACTGAACTCTTCTACATGTCTTTGTATTGTGTATAAATATTCATGCGATGTTTATGAAAACTTTGTATTTGAATACGGCGGGCAATTTTAATAAATCGACAATACCTATGTTAGATAACTGTTCTATACTAAAGTATTATAAACAAATTTGCTAAACTCGGTGTAGACCCACCAGGTGCTCAGATATCTGACACTTGCATTAGTTTCTTACTTAATACAGTTAAACACAAACAGGAAACTAACTTACTGAGCATCTGGTTTTTCAGTATGATTGCTCAATTACTACCATGCCTTCTTTCCATTATGTATGTTTATGATTTTTGTTTTTTTGTTTTTTTTTTGCACCTTTCCTATTCCAATGCTATTTGTTGACCCACAGAAGAGGAATGGGAGAAAGAGTTAGAGGCTGAACTGCAAGACTACGAAGTCGTTAGTGAGAATAAATCCCTTAGCTCCAAGAACGATAGCAACTGGGACAAAGACATTGAAGATTTGCTTGAAGACGACACAGATCTAAAATAATCTAGTTAACCTCCTAACTGTGGCTGTTATTTTGTGACTTTGTATCTTGGGGCTAATGTTATTTTAACTATTTCGATGCTTACTGTTTTTGTTAAAATAGACATTAGTAAAATGGGTTAAAAATGGGAAGGTCGGTTATAAAAAAATATTTTTCTAATCCACTCATTATTTTGGAGTTTAAGAAAGGGCCTATTGCTAACCCGCAAGTAACATTCATTCGCATTTATTAATCCATTGCGAATTTTAGTACAAAAATTTTCAATAAATATAACATTCCAATGTTAGTAGTGCGTAGTTTTTGTTTATGTTGATATTTCTAGTCAGGTGTGGAATGTAGCCATTTTATGTCAATTACGTTTTGTTAAATGTATATTAGAGACAACTATTCTATGGTCTACACCTTTTACATATTTGTAAAGTATGATAAAATATAGTAATATATATGGATAAATATATGTTCAATAATTAAAAAATCACTTGAGTAAATTTAAGTTCAGTCCTGTACATTTATTATTGAAAGATTTATGCAAAGCTGTTATCGTTTGTAGTTGTATTATTTAGCGTTACATTGTTTAGTTGATGTCATTCCCTTCTATTACTTTCAAAATACCTTCCTTCAATAGCCACTTAAGTTACAATCTAATTACTTCAAAAAATTGTAAGACCATGTTATAGCAACGTAGAATTTAGCCCATGTGTGTGTTAAAACGCAAATCCATTCTGTATTCTTCAATTATATTGCATAAAATTGTTAAATAAATGTAGCAGTTATACCTCAAACTGACATTATCTCAATTTCCTAGAACTTAAGATTTAGTTTAAATTTAACATAGCAAAATCTGGGAGTGGATAGAGCCTGATGTTTACCATACAAAAAAATAGAATTGCTAAGTTTTGTTTTTGTAAGACAAACTGTTTTAGTTATCCTCTCAGTTGTCATACTGAGGGTTGTATCTTTAGAGTTTTCATCAAAGATGAGCTAGTGCTCCACCCTTGACGATCCCTCGTCTCCATTGACTCAGCCAGTATGCCCCTCTTTAAGTGCCTCTTCCCTAATCACTAGGTGAGGTGTAGTGGCGGTAATTTTTAAGAGGGTCTCCATAGCTGTCGTAGACGTCGTTATCATTGGCCCCCATAATTCCAAGGCATTCTCCGCGCTGCACCTTGCTGAGTATCCTTATGTTGGGTGAAGGTTTTATGCCACTACACCAGTGATGTTACGTAATGACTGGTTTAATCATTTTAGTGTACATCCAGTAGAATCCAAAACAATTCGTACCTTTCGATTAGATTTTTCAATCAACACTTATAGACTAGAAACCAATTTCGAAAGAAAATTCAAAGGGCTGTAACTTTTGAAATAGTAGCTTAATCTTGGAACTGTTTGAAATTATGGATTCTACATGCCACATTTTATAAGAACATTTTTTTCCGGATCGATCTGAGACAATTTTTTTTGCGGGCCTCAAAAAAAGGCAGTGTACAACCTTCCTTTTTTTACCAAAAATAGACTACACCAAAATTTCTCGGGAAAACACTTTTTCTTATTAATTTTAGTGCGTAGAATCTAAAACAATTTGTACTTTTTCGATCAGACTTCTCAATCAAAAGTTATAGACTAGAAACCAATTTCGAAAGAAAATTCAAAGGGCTGTAACTTTTGAACTAGTAGCCCAATCTTGGAACTGTTTGAAATTATGGATTCTACAGGCCACATTCTATAAGAAAATACAAGCCCATGTTTCCACTAGATTTAAAGCTTTCCTCGCAGTACCTCTTCCATAAGTCATGTTTTGCCTTCCTTATGGCCTTATATTGTATTTGGTGAGTGTGGTTTGATATGAACCCCTTTCCCCTGTTTTTTGCTTTTTTAAAGTTTCTGCCCACAATCGAGAGAGGCCCTCGGGCCACCAGCGCACTATATGAGGTTTACTCTTATTTTTATTTTATCTTGCATATTATCTTTTTGTCTATAGTGCCGTTTACGCAAACGTAACAAACTTTAATTTTGTTCTGTTATTGGATACTTTGTATCTGTAGAACAATAAACATTATTATTATTATTTTTCTGCTTTCTTTTGTGAGACAGCTTGCATCATATAGGCACCTTTGATGGCCATGCCTAATCTAGGAAAGACTCACCTTTTCTGTTGTTGTCAGTGCTCCACATAATGTGGTGCGCATTGGCATCACATCCAAGAAGTTGCCATCCTTCCCACTGATAGTGTTCCACCAGTGTGGTAACTTCTATATTTATGGTGGTGGATGTTAGTTCATAAAGGGAGGTATGCGGATCCTAGCACAAGCCCCTCTCGCCCCCGGCCCTTTCCACTGTCAGCATTACTGCCACCAGGTCTCTGCAACAGAATTCCCCTAGTGGTAGTAACGCTGTTCCTAGCTAAGATGTGAGATTGATTTCGGTTGGCTAAAGAGTCCCAGACCTCGTATTACCCTTGTAGGTCCAAGGGCTACATCAATATGATTGCTCATGTATGCACAGAGGGTGATGTCGCCCTAGCGGCCATGAGGTACAAAAAAATAATTTACAAAGAATACTTTGTACCATTCATTTAATAAAAATTAATTGTACAATTGCTATAAAAGTAACTATAAAGGCAACGTAACTAATAAATGGAGTATTTCTAAGTTTTTACATCACAATATGCCTACCATTGATTGCGTTAATAAAACACAATCGTGTTTTCCGAAATACATGTTTGGAAATACCCATATATCATTTGTAATACTAATATCGATAACCTACATTGCAACTTACATCAAATATAGCCGAGCAAAGGTTGATTCTGTTACAACTAGACTGTGTTTATGGCATATATAACAAAGTCTTTAATACACCACACTTCTAAAAGCCTAGGCCACATTCTTTAATTTATAATTACATAATCTTAAAGGTTCACATGCAAGGCGATTTTAAAGAAAGGTGGCGGAATGTGACATTAGTGAACTTATAAGTAAAGACTATTTTATGTTGCACAGTCTACAGGGCAGATTGTTTATGGCAATGGAACGATTTGTTGCTGAGGTGTGGATGTGGGCAAAAGGCCTAATCGTAAGGCAATGTGTCCAATACTCTATACCGGCGCCTGTTCGTAGATTATGACTAGAATCTATACCGTAACAAAATGATGCATTATTTGCCTCACAGCCACATTTTTTAAACATAAATAATCACTGCAATAAACAATCTATTATAAACTAGTAATCATAAACCCTTTAAGACAATTTGTTCTTAGATAAGTACGGGTCAAAGGGCTAGCTAGAAATCATTTAAAGTGTCTCAATAGGTAACAAGGTACTTAATTGATTTTTATAAAAGATTTATATCTAAAAATCTGTCGTTTAACAAGAGGTAAATAAACATTACATTAGAGAATTGTGCAAGAATACGACAAGGCAATTATACTTTGAAAGCATATAGCGCGACAACATTTTCATTACTTCTTCTTTATTTTCGGAGATGTCGATTGAAAAACACTAGAGGCGGACATTAGGTTTTCGATATACTGCCCCAATACCTGATTTTCTGATCGTAACTTCAAGTTTTCTTCTTTGACACTGTCGACACGCTGAGACAGGTCGTCTAAAGTGTTCTGAAGCTCGAGTACCTGAGATATTAACCGAGCCTTTTCCTCCTGCTCGTCGAGGCTAGTGTCGGGTTCCAAACTGTGATGGTGTGGACTAGAACTGCCGTTTGTAAAGGTGGACTGAATGGAATCCATACTACGGCCACGTATCATACTTGACGAGTTACATTCAGATATGGAATTGCCATCTGGCTCATCAGTGATGATTACTAAAAAATACTAATAAAGGATTTCATTGCAAAAAGTGTTGTACCTTGAGGATCGTCGTCAGCTAAAGGTATATTGTTGATATCTTCTTGCAGTCTTCCGTTTGCCATTTTTCTTCTGAAAAGCTTACTGATTTATCCTCCTTATTAAAAATTACTCATTTTCCTATTCACATACAAGGATAAATATAGAACAAATATGACGGTAAATGGCAACACCGTAGAATAATTGACACTTGGTGGCTAAAGAAACGCTCGCATTTGCTTTTTTTTTGTTTATTTGTTGTACATGGGGATTGAACTGATATATTAGATGTACACTGTATGATCTAAGGTACGTAGTGATCCTTTTAAAAGAGCTTTTACGAGTCGTTTATTGTTTAACAGCTGACTTTTTGTATAGATTTTTAATACCTTTAAGGGTTTTCAATATTCTCAAAGAGTCTTTAAAGTATCGAAGAGTCGCTCTTTGGTATGTTAGTTCTTTAGGATCTCCGTTTTTTTATTTTTAGGGCTTTAAAAATCCTCAAAACTCTTCCGTGCAAAAATAGTGTAATACTGAAAAGATTCTGTGATATTTTAAGATCAAATATTATACCGGGTGTGTGTAAAAAAATGATAGGTAGTCTTTCTATATTTTTTAGTTGCTGTGGAAAAGTGTTCTGTTCCGGGTTTTAAATACTTTTAGAAAGTATTTAGCCCAGAGTTGGATATCTGGAGGTATTGGTTCATTGGCTTGAGTTGGTTGTATGCAGATAATGTGCATTTCGTTACTATGGAAACCGGCGATGCGTGAGCCACAATCTGCATTGCTCTTCTATCTTTGTTATAATCGTATACAGATACGTGTAATAAACAGAGATGCATTTATACTGAATATAGCTTCGCATTTCTTTTTGTAAACTTCATTGTAGATCTCTACTATAAGATACCTTGTAATCATAAACAAAGAGTTATCTTTATTGAATGCCTCTAATTATTATTCGTATATTGTCTTAAGAATAACAAAAGAGTGTGTACTGTCCATTTCTTTGTGTTAGTGTCATTGGTTTACTTTGCACAATTACATGTAAACCCTTAACATAAATGGAAGGATTTGATGCCATATATTACGAAGAAGAGGAAGAAATTCCTGACGGCAGCGGCGATCATGCCAACATAACGTTGCTTCCCGATCCGGTCATTATCCGAGGTGCAGGAAACATGACTGTGTACGTAAACGTTTAACGAATTCTTTGCCGCCTGCATCGCTGTTCTTTCAGATTTGGTTTAAGTAATCGTTTCAGCACCGAGTTCCCTAGCGGTTTAGTATCACGTGTGGCACCTGAAGAGTTTACAGAAACTGTTTTACGAATTAATACCGTACTGAAGAAAACATTACCCGTGAATGTTAAATGGTTATTTTGTGGATGTTTATGTTGTTGTTGCACATTTGGATGTTCCTTGTGGCCAGTGATATGTCTCAGTAAGCGGGTACGTTTACATCCCTATGCAAATATTGATAGTTAGTGGATTTTTTTATTTCGATAGTCTGTTTGTAGATGACTCATTAATCAAACTTTCCACACGATGATGGTTACTGTCATTTTTTTGTTGGCAGAGGTTTTGTAAGTGTTCTTTACGGAGGCTGTGAGAGTCTCTTTCGTTTAATGTTGGTAAATAAATGAGAGGTGTGTGACCATTTAGTGAGATTCTCCGAGATTATAATGTTTTTTTAACAAATATTTACCTCTGTAATTGTATGCGCATTAAAGAGTGAGTTTTCCAAAATGACGCGTCACTGTTTGAGCAAGCAAAAAGATAATGCTTTAATAGTTCTATTTGTGCCCATAATACGGATTTAGGTTTATTTACCTCGAGTAAGCACGGTCTACAAAATGAGGTGTCAACTTCTCATGGTTTTGAAAACTTGGCATTTTGTTCTTAGTTCTAATTGACCACGCAATAGTTCTAGACAGGTTCTCTGATTCTACCCCAAACATTTCTGTTATATTGAATTATTGATACGACTGCCAATGTGTTGAGTCGATTCTGGACAATTCAATAAATCACTTGCTCATTGACTAATAGAAACTGAAACCGTCCCATTTTTGGTAGTAATTTCTGCCTAAATATTCTGTGAAAGAATTCTCGTGTTCACAGTTTGAGAATTTTTGAAATTCAAGCATGTAGGAGCAGCACGCTCTTGAGAAAATAAAACATGAACATGAAAAGTTGGCATGGTGCAGTCTGCGCATGCCCACATCTGATTTTTACAATATGCGATATGTTTGGCTTTACTAGAAGTCCCTTTAATTAAAATTTCAAAGACATATCTCCATAAATAAGTGAACATTGCGCAGTGTGCGGTGAAGTTTTCCAAAAAGTTTCCCAAGGCAAAATTAAAAAATTTCACCATTTTGCACTAAACATTTTCCTTTAGAGAGTATTCTACCTCCTCCCACTCCTCATTTTTTGAAACTCAATTTTGCTAGTATAGAATTCATGACAAAAGGTCATCAGATTTTCGTTTACTGTATTCCTGACCCCCAGTGCTATGTTCTCACCCAAAAACGGAGGCCAAGAAAGAAACATTTCATGGTCCATTTTATAAGTATCATGACTTAGCTGATTTTGGAAAAAACATAACACAGGGGGGTGTTGAGGGTGTGGAATTACCCTCACTACAGTACGAGATTTTCATGTGTATAATGTCAATGATGGTAGGGGCTACATTCTAACCCACAAATAACAGCCAAGAAAGATTTGATGCCTTTTTTTTAAGTATCACGACAGGCTTCAGGGACAGCGGGGTCTGGGAGGTATGGATTACCCCCCAGTATATTATGAGATTGTGGTGAGTATAATTTCATGATTGTAGAGAAAGGGTCATCAGATCTTTGTTTACTGGGGGGTATTCCGTACCTTTGGGGACTCTGGGAAAGAATGTTGAATCACGACAAGCTTCAGGGCTTTACATATTTCAGATAACACAGGGGGGTCAGTGTGACAAATGATGTATGGGCCGACAAGGTACTCCTATAATGTGTTTGCAACACAGTTCTAATGAAATGCCACGCCGAGGGTTAAGTTACAACCTATCAATTTTGTTGATGTTGATCATTTATAGTTTTAAAACTTATATTTCCTGATTATTTACATTGTGTGCCTCTATTGTATATGTACGCATAAAGGTTGATTGAAGAAGACATTTTATTCCAGACGCAACATTCTCTGAATAAACTACTGGAGTGGGAAAATAGCTACTTGTATCATAAGTTAGGATTACACTGGCGACTGTCAAAACAAAACTGTGATTCCTCATCGATGATGGAATACGTCATACTAATAGAATTTCTTCCAAAAATACCCATACACAGACCGGACTAGCATAAGGTGCAATAATTGTAATTAACATAAATTTAATGTTCAATTTATAGAGTGCTTAGATGTAGTAATAATTTAGTAAACATTTTGTATATTTGCTAAATATGTTTATAATGTGATAATGATTTAATATATACAATTTTCTTTAGGTTAAGTTTTATTTTTATTTTCAAAACCATTTCGCACAAATGTATTTGAAATTAATGTCAAGGGCTAGATCATTGTCTGTGTTCGAGATTGAGGGTCACCTCAAGATCTCTTATTTAGCGAGATACGAAATATTTGTGAAATATAATTTTATATGTGACATTCCGATCTATTATTATTATGTTACGAAATTTAGCATGCAGTGTGCTGTCAGGGTGCGTGGTGTCTGTTGTATTACATGGGTAGATCGTATCACGCAAATGTAAATCTTCATTGAACAAGAGCAAGCTCTTCAAATATCTTAAAAAAACATCATAACCATTGCATTTGAAAAACAAAAGGTGCATCATTTCGGATAGATCGTAATGTTACATAGAATTATATTTGATACATTGACACCTTTGAACGCACTGTATTGTTGCTGTCACTCCAACATAAAACAAAGTTGAGGGAAAATGATCAGTGATCTATGTGCAAATGCCATACAAATAAATATTGGGGTGATTTTTGTTGTAGAATTGTTTTGGACATAGTGATCAAATTTGCTTCCAAACCTACCATTCATAGGCAATAACTGAATGTTTTTGAATTAAATTAGCAGTTAATTTGAATGGGTAACACTTGCAGAACTAACGAGGACTCTGGGAGTGTGCATCCTGACTAGTGACTTGACCCTTGTCTCTCATTCCTAATCTCATAACTCGACTGCTATAACTGAGGTTTGTATTTTAGTTTCTTATACGTTTGAGTGAACATTTTGGCAGACATTGAAAAAGGACCTTAATTTTAAAAAAAACAAACAGGCGAATTTATTTAATATTGTAAAAATTTATACCTAAGACAATAAATACATCTCTCAAGAAGTACAAGCGAATTAATGCATGCATACCTAACATACAGCGGATAAATAAATATAGAAATTGTTTAACAAACTAATACTACAGAATGTATAATGTTCGTTTGCATCTTGTGATGAATGGGATGTCATACCGATTATCTGCTACGGATTTATAAACAAATTTAAACAGTTTCTTGTCTTCCATGGTAGAATATGTCCGCTTTTCAAGAGAATATTCTGTTAGTGTTTGCCTCAAGGTTCTTGTGGGACTTCTCGTATTCGGATTCCCTTTATCTTCAATTGCAATTCGGAATGTGACCCTAATAAGTGGCGGTGCCTACACATCTGGGTACACATTCCAAACGCGCAACATGTCGCATTTTTATACAATTTTAAAGTATATATTCAAATTTGGAAGCCATTCACCGTACATACGGCATTTCATTAAATTTCAAATAATTCAAATAAGTAAAAGAGGGGTTTTATAACACGTTAATATGTATTAAGCATTCATTTTTTCCACGCGTAAACCATTGAATTTAAATTCAATGGCGTAAACACATAGCAACTGTTGGGTACATGAAAAGTTAATGAAATACATAGCAACGCTAAAGTTTATGTGTTTTGTAATTTTGGTTACTTGTACTACCTACATTTAGGTATTTGTTTACGGTGCGCTCTAAAATTTAAAAAATATACCGTTCTGGCATCTAACGTTAGTTTGCAACGTTAGTGCAACATTATGATGGTAATAATGAAGTGCCCTGCATTTATTGGCAGCAAGTAGCTTCAGTCCACTATTTTCACGACAGATGTCAGAACGATGTTCAAGAAAGTACCGTGAAATGTCAGAACGATATATTTTATGAAATTTGGCGCCTACAGTAGTTTGGTTTTATGTTACATTTAGGCAGTACAAGATAAAAAATTTACAAAACACATAAACTTGAGCATTTATAATTGGTTACTGTGTACTTCTTTAACGTTACATCATTGTCTATTCATTTACAATTGTTTAATGTTCACAACAATTGATTCGTCTACGCGCGGAAAGAATGAATACGAAAATTGAAAATTTGTACTTTACATATCCAGACGCACTGATAAATAAAATCTGCCAAGGGATATTATTTAGATAGCATTTGAAAAAGTCAGTGACTTTGGTCTGTGTGAAAAGTTTTGATCAGTTTGAATCTTCTGGGCATGCTGAGTAAATTAAAAATGTCATTCCAACCCCTTGTCTCGATGGTAAGGGGATAATATGGGAGTCGATTGAATGCAGTTCTCTTCATGGAGTACCGGATAAAAAATATTTATCTACTAGTCCATATGGTAGTTGTAGGTTCCCGAAATGATACGTTTGACCTTTTTCTCAAACAAAATGGAGCATAAATACAAATTCCAATATACCTACCTATACAGGACAAGATGACCGATTTTGATAGGAGATCGAAGGAATGGGACGGGACTTGATAGAAAACCACACCAGGTCTTTCATTAGAATTTTATAAAGGTGGAAATCATTTTTACCCCCACATCCCACCCTGAGTAGTTTATTTTGACAACGCACTTACAAAAAAAGTGGTTCTAAAAACACAATTTGTCGCGATTGACCTCAAAACGCGTCATCAATAGCGACAGTATTGTTTTTATTTAAACAGATTTCCCTTATCAATTAACGTGTTGGTGAGTAACAATAAGACGGTCCCGTTGACGTCGATTTCTACCTGTTATCACTTCACTTAACAATTTCACACGCAGTGGTTGACCAAAGTTTAAGCGGTGCGGGTATGCGGTTCAACGGTGATGGTTCTTCCTTTATCTACCTATGGAGACTGATCTGATGAGGTTTAGGGTGAGTTTTTATTTTTGTGGAATTACTTCTAGTAACGAACGGAAAACTAAAATTCTTATAAAATAGGAAACATATCATATTTAAATATATTTGTTTTTGAATCCCCGGTCCTGGTCCTGACTAATAGTAGCACGACCGTTAGTCTGTTAAAATCTTAATTTTAATTTCTTATGAGGTGACCCAGAAAAGGTACTACTGTAGCGCCTTTTAGGGCGAACAAATGCTAGTTGGCCAGGTGATTTATTGTACCATATCCGTGTATTGGTATCTATAATCGCTACTTTGAGTTTCCTTTGGGCAGCTTGCCTGTAGCTATACTGAGTGGGGTGCTCCAGCCTCGCCGACACCCTTTTATGTTTAGGGCTGTGGTCTGCCCTTCTTCGTCGACGGTTGGGTCGGTATTGAGTCATCCGACCTTTGCCTTTTTTTCGCTCCACCTACCCGTTTCGTTTGCCCTCCTGACTGAAGTTAGTTCTAGGAGCCTGGTTCTGAGTCAGGGTTGGATCACGGGTGGTAGGTGGTTTAGAGGCGAATATTGGAGCAGTTAGACCCATTTGAGTCAGTCTCACTTTCTTTCTACTCTTCTGCTCACGGCTGGAGATGAACTCGCATGGTTTGGTGTGTTGTTGAGGTTCAGTAACCTGTAACATATATAGGTTGAGGAGTATCTTGAAACGCTCCCTCTGTGGTTTATTATTTTGATCAGTCTCCACGGAGCCCAACAAGGGGACGTCTAACCAGACGCCAGGGCTACGAGAAGAATATATAGCTTTTCAAGGGTAGCAGAAAACAGACTCGAGTTCATTTGCTACCACTACCCTACAGATGCTCACCCAGTCGAGGGTCTGACCCGATGACACAGCCGATTGATCATGGTTGGTTAACAATCAGGATCCGTTCAGAGGGGGATAAGGTGGTAAGTAATTTTAAACCTTCTATAATTCCGTAAATCAAACGAACATACAAGTTTTGAATATTTGGTTGTTTATTTTCAAGAAATCTGAAAAGATATGGGCCATACAGTGCTCTACACAATGGAAAATAAACTTTAATCCGATGTAGCTGTATATCTAAGCCCGGAGCCCGCTGTGAACAATTTTTGATATTAATTTGATAATTGAAATTGACGTTTAAGCTTAACGCGAGATTTTTTGATTCCTGAACCAACTCATCATTTTTTATTTCCTATTCTTATATCTAGAAATGAATAATGTAATTGCGTTTCATCAGCATACAAGTGGTAATCGCAATTTATTCATAGTATTTTAAGTATATATTGAAAAACAGCACAGGTCCTGAAATAGAACCCTGGGGAATCCACATCGAAATTAATCATTTGTTGTCAATATCAACTAATTGACTCCTGTTTGTAAATAATGATGGAGAAGTGTAATAGAATTCAGACCAGAGCCAATGAAATGTAGTATTTAGTATTGCTAATAAAATATTTTGCAGTTAGAGGCGGAAGCCGAATATTGTTCTGCTATAATTTTCGAATAAAATTAGATTTAAAATAACATGACGCAATAAATGTTTATACCCTGATATAAGTAAGTAGCTAATATTTTGGGTTTCCTGAAGTGATCGAAAGTAAGAGAGCACCGTGGACGTGTTTTACAAATGGTATCATTAGGTACCTATGTAGAAAAGAATGTTGTTAATACACCAATTTCTATTTTAAAATGTTTTCTAACACGAGACGTTACCTACTTCCGATAATAGGAATTGAAAGCTGAAAAATGTAGAAGGGTCATTATATTGGGCTGCTATTAAATCGACTTATTTTTAACTTATTTTGACTGCGCTATTTTGATTTTGGTATTGGAAAATAGCGAGCCTTTAAGTTACCTAATGTTATTGAACTATTTTGTAACTAAATTTATTGTTCATTTATTACATTCGCTTTTCGGTTTGGTTCTCGTTTCATGAGCGTTGCCAATAATATATTAAAATAAACTGATTAAAAACCTGTACAAGGATGTTTATGCAATAAACTCTTTCGCGTGATCGTATAAATTTAAAAAGAAATACGTGAAAATTTAATGGCAAGCGGTTTAATCGCATCATCCTACCATTATTGGATGGGTGACAGATAGATTAATCAGCTTTTATGATCTAAAGTTAGCCTCACTGCACATGCACCTAAAGCACACCAGGTTGACATACATAATTAATTTTAATTTGAATTACGCACACGGGTATAGGTATTTCTTTTAAGCTTTGGGTGCGATAACGGAAACGAGCGAATATTCTAGAAATTTAGAACTATATCAAAGCGCCATCAAGTCGATAAACATCCTCAAACAATTCCTGAATTTTTTGCACCGAATACGCTATTGCACCCCGGCTAACTACTACTGTTTTGGAACCCGAGTCTAGAGAAATCTTGGCGATAGTTTGTCCGGTAAGGCCCAAAATATTTCCAGAAAACACTTCACAATAATTAATTCCCACAATGGCTAATCTACT